AACCTAATACACACACACACACGTATATATATATATATAATTTGCGGTTGCAAAACTGTCAAAAAACCAATGACTTGTAGATTAAAGGAAACTCTAATCGGAAAATGCTACTACTGCTTCTGTCGTTAAAGCGTTACTACCAAAGGAACAAGGTAAAAAAAAATAGGGTTTATTGCTGTTTCCTGCTTGAGAAGAGCTATCGCGCAAGAAGCAAGAGAACTACAGTAACTACAGGAACAAAGAGCTGTCTTCTGTTTCTTTTTTATTCCCGCCACTGCATGATAGATATGCTTATCAACGTTTGTATGGGGAACAAATATAAAGCTATCGCAGAAAATAAAGTATATTAAAAGTACGTTTTGTTTTTCTTTTAACTTTACTTGTTAAACTCTTTCACTGCTATTACAATCACTTGCAGTCAGTTTTAGCGACTTATTCTACTGTAAACAAATATGTAGATTTCAGGAATTTTGAATAATAGTATATCCATGTCATAGGCGTAAACTGAATGCCTTCACAATTGCATAGTATAACATAGTATAAATATATTTGTTTTTCTTTGCATATAGTTAAAAAAATGCCAATAATGCATTTATATGACATAATTGAATAATAAATTTGAATTGTTATAGGGTTTTAGTAAAAGATGTAGGCCATTTTTTTTATTCCGAAAGATCTAAAACGCTTTACTATAACAAAAACTTCGAATTATATAATTTAATGTAAGATTTCGTATGCGATACATAAAGCACGTAGTTTTAAATATGAGCAAAAATTTAATTTCATCTGTATTTACTGTTTTAAATATTTTATAATTAATTCATTCAGAAGTTTACTATGCAATAAAAAATTGCTTAGAACTGTGGCATACCAATAAGCAAGTTTCAATATACATAAACTTTAGAATATCGAAAATGAAAAATAACAGTTCTTAGTAGGAAGTTTATTAAGAAACAATAATCCAGGGAAATGTGTATGGATAGATAAAATTAAGATGGCCTTAGTAGCTTTGCTATAAATACAAATACAATACAAACTTTTTTCGTTTAGATATTTTGCTAACTTAATAACAATTATAAACATACAACTTACAGAAAAATACCTGCAGTGACCAAGAAAACATACGCCATCCAATGGACACTGTATGTGTGAGAACATCTTTAAAATTATTAATAGAAGGTATTAGAAACTTTACAAAACTATGACTTGAAAATAGATCCAAGAAAAGCAGTTTCAAGAAATAGTAAGATCCGGATATAGACATCATTCTTACAACGCAAACGCATCCAGAATTCAACTTCCGGATGACTTTATTCATTCTGTGGACAACCTGCTATTCACACTGTAGTAGCTATACGGAAATTGAGATCAAGTTTTGCAAATTACACGCTGTTTAGGACGAAAAAAAATAAGAGTTTAACTTTTCGACTAAATGGAACACCGTGAAAGTGACTAACGTCGCTTATTATCAGTCAAAAACTTCAGTGACTATCCGCATACAGCCTTGATCAGTAGTTGAAGCATCAACAAAATCAGTTAAAAGAAATATGCAACATGATTTTTCAACAATAACTAAACTTAACTCTTATCGTTTGCGGTGTGTTCAACAAAAGAAAACGTTAGGTTAGAGAAAATTGTGTGGCCAAGAAAAAATAAAATAGAAATATTTATTACCTCTTGCCATTGGTGATACCATTAACAAATTCACAAATGCTGCACCATGCCCGTGTCCCATGATTGTAACATTGTTAATATCTCCACCAAATTCTACGATGTTTTCTTGTATCCAGTGGAGAGCTGCAACTTGATCCATGAGACCGTAGTTACCGCGAGAAGCTCCCTCTAGTGCTGGTAAAAATCCTAATAAAAAATATATATTTTTTGATAAAAGAGTTAACACAAAGAACCACTTTTATAGTGTAATAGACTTAAAATAAGACTCAAAACTCGAGCACTTTCGAATAGTCAAATAAAAATATAGTAATTCAGTGGAATATATTTTGCTCTCTCAAAGTTTATATCCATGCATTTGTTCTTTTTTGGAAATAAAAAAGTAACTTCAGTTCAGCTTCAATTCAATCTGTCTTCGGGGGGGGGGGGTGCTGCACTTGGTGCAGATACCAGTTTTCGTTGCTATGAAAATTATTTTAAACATTAGCTCAAAGTAAAACATTTAAGCACTATTTCAAAGCTCACTGTTAGATACCTTGTAGTGTTTTCCATGATGTGAGCCTTAAGAAACAGTGTTAAAATTTCGTTTTATATTATATTATTTTATTTGTTAGCTCACCTAAAACTCCAAGACGAAAGTTCAAAGTTATGACGATTACATTTGCCATACTTGCAATGACACTACCATCATATGGATTCCCAGAATTCCATTCGTAAGATTCCCCTTGAATGAAAACAATCACTGGAACCTTCGCGCTTTGGTGAAGAACTGAAAAGAAGAAAATTACAATATAGATTCAACATATTTTTTTTTATTTTCAATATTAAAAGGATAATACACTTTCTATTTCTGGTTAAATGAAAAGGAGGTAAAAAATTGTGTATTTCTGTATTTCATTTTATTCTTAAAAAATAGAAAGTCTCTTATAAAAGCGTTGTTTAACGTAGGCTGATCAACTTTCTTCAGTCAAGATATTTCGACAACTTCACGAACATCTAAAAATTCATTAAAATACAGTTCGTAAAACGTTTCTCTTCAATCTTAATTTAAAAAAGTTTATATTGCTCAAATAAACGATGTCAACTTAAAATAAATGCTCATATGATATTCATGATGTTAGGAAAACACTCAGGTTCAAAAGATCAATTTAACACAAAGATACGAAATCTTATGTAAATTTTTCGATGCCAAAAAAATTACTTAAACATCATTTCAAAGTAATACATTTAAACACTAGTTCAATGTTCATTGTCAGATACTTTGCAATGTTTCCAAGAAACAACCGATACTCTAGGAATATCTTGAGCAATCGATTGTAGATGCATTGAGTAAACTTGTAACTTCGCTGACAAAACATAGCATGGTCGATGAGCAGAGACCAGACATATTTTTAAAACTGGAATAAAACTTACTATCTCAAAAAACAACAACAACAAAAAGACGAAAGTAAAGCATAATCTACTGTAGAATCCTAAAAATTTTATTCAGTGTTTATTATTATCTTTACCTGTAATACGATCCTAGAATCTTTAAAGTGTTTATTGTTACCTTTATCTGTTATACGATCCTGGAACCTTTATAGTATTTCAAATTCGATAACGAGGAACCCACTTTGAGACTAATAATGGCTAGAGACAGCTTGAATGGGTAATGAAGAAAAACTTTAATATAACAGCAAATGTACAACGTTTCGACAAGGTTTTGTCATCATCAGATGATGAGGACAATACCTTGTCGAAACATTGTACATTTGCTGTTATGTTAAACATCTAAAGTATACAAACTATGGTCTGAACCTTTATAGTATTTATTGTTACCTTTATCTGTTATACGATCTTGGAACCTTTATAGTGTTTATTGTTACCGTTATCTGTTATACGATCTTGGAACCTTTATAGTGTTTATTGTTACCTTTATCTGTTATACGATCCTTTACACAGTGTTTATTGTTACCATTATCTGTTATACAATATACAAAAATACCAAATATCGTTAAATCTGAGCTGTGCTCATAAAATTTTATCATAGCATTTTATGGCTGGTAATTTTGGGTTGTATCTAGATGCTGCTATGTTGGTGAAATAAAATACAAGGTCAATAGAACAGTACGAATTATCCGCCACGTGTTTATCTTTTAGAAATAGAGCTTTTGTTGCTGACTGTTTTAATTTTTATTAGGTTTTCCACCATAAGAATTACGTATCGATTTTTGTGTCATATTAGTGAATATGATACGCAGTTCATTTTTACCGAATGATACTAATTAGCTATTACCGAAAAAGTGAAAACAAAAATCGCATACTACCAAAGTGATTTTTTAATTTTTTCATTCTTAAATACGAGTCGATTTAATCCAATTTTTATGTGCTTTTCAGTTCACAGCTTATTTATGCTATAAATGGCTTTTATTTATTTATTCACTTGTGCATTGTTGTGTTAAGTAAATACTAGTATTCATCTTAACCAGTTGAAAAAATGTTCTTTTGCAGTTAATAGTGTATTTTCTTAATTAAAATGTGAATGGTTAGTTAGAGCGAAATAAACAAGTACTTCAAATACAGAATATTAAAGTATTGTATCTGGGATAACTAGAAAATCCACGAGATTGTATTTATATTATTCATCTGTCGCGTAGCTTCCGTTTTTTTAGTACAAAATATATTTTCTCTTCAAAATAAGATGAAGAATTAACTACGAAACTGCTTTGATTATATTTACTGTAACAGCGTATACTATTTCTACATTATCACTGCATACTTTGTGGTAAATCTAAAAGAATACATCAGAAAAAATCCTGTTTATACAACTAAAGAAAGTACTGAAACTTCATGAGCAAGGTAACTTTTATAAATGTCGTGTTGATAAACTTAAGAATTATTTCGCATTTTCATTTGGTTTGTATGAATCCTGAATAACAACTGTAGTTTGTGTGAATGCTGAATAACAACTGTAGTTTGTATGAATGCTAAATAACAACTGTAGTTTGTATGAAAGCTGAATAACTCTAGTTTGTATGAATCCTGAATAATAACTTTAGTTTGTATGAAGCCACAAAAATAATTCAAGTTTATGTGAATCCTGAATAGTAACTTTCATTTGTATTACTCCTGAATAATAACTAGTAATATTCTATCTCTACAAAGGCAAATGCTCTAAGTAAAAAGATACAAGTCAGAAAACAAATTAAGAACACAAATTTGAAAGTGTGTATGAGAACGCCCTGGTTATATCAGTGTTTGTCAGTATTACCACGCACGAACAAGTGTAGTAACGCAAGTTAAACGTTGAGCGTGAGTATCTGTTAAGTGAAACTGAAGATTAATTATGATATACATGATTTTAATCTCAGCACTGAGCATGAGAGTGTATTAAGACAGGGTAAACGCAATAAAAATTTCTTAATAAATGAACATGAATGTGACAATAGAGGATAAGGATGAGTGTATGTGTGTTTGCTAGTAAAAGCTTGATACCAGGAATGAAAGACCGTAAATGGGGGGTTAACGTTAAGAATAATATAGTGTTGGCAGAATCTAAGTATTAATAAGAGTATGTTAAGAGAGGCTAAAAATTAAGCATGCGTGGTCTTGTACGCAAGCTAAAGTTCAAACAATAGGGTGTCTTATTACAAGCAGGAAATGGAACAATAGAGTATGTTCAAAGATAATTCATGAGATCGAGGTAACAGAGAATAAACATTCCACATGAAAATGTGTAAGAAAAGCTCAAATTAAACAAAATATTTAAGTAACATAGACTAATGGTAAATTTTGAAAGTACAAGAATAGATGAATACAAGAGCTACAGTGTAGAAATACAGTTTATAAAAGATAGAAAAAGGATACGAAAAAAAAAAGGTTTAAAGATCAAATTTGAGAAAGTACGAATACAGGCTAAATATCTAGGATTGTAAAGAATTTGGAAAGAAAACTTGATTAAACTATCACCGTTTGAAATCAAATATGCTATTATATGAATAGGAGCTTAAGGACCACATTTATACGAGCCTTTGTAATTCATATAAATAAAGATTATTAAAAACAATCGTGGACACTGTGAAGGAAGTAGTATAAAACGCATATAATATAGGATTACTCCAATGAGAATCCACTGACGTTCGAAATTTATAACTGTTCCTGGTCAATATCGTAAATTTTCCGATTGATAAGGGTTAGCAAAATCACGGTTTATAGACTAATTAATAGCACACGGTTATAGCAGGTTCCTAGCCAACTTTTTAAGCTCTCTCTCTTTTGGGAGCGTCGCCTTGCATGTTTTGTAGGTGCGAGAAATGTTTTTCTTGAAAAGTTCGGACAACAATACTGAACTTTATTTAACCGGTTACGGAAGTGGTTATATTGTCGATTCTTGCATTCACGAATATTCTACACTCTTGGAGAATTGGCGGGAGTTTCGCAATACGTAGGCACGTTTTTAAATATGAACTCATTCCAAACAAACGTTGTCATTAAAATAAATATATAACAAATTCGTTATACGCAATACATATCTGACACTATAAGTTACTCATATTTTTAAATACACATTTAATATAAACAACGTTCATATTAAAAATAAATACATAACAATAAATTCGTTACACATTCCATTCTCATTAGTGGTGCACTAAACACATTTAAGCTCCCAGGACCCAATTATCGTACGACAAACTTGTAGAACTCAAATTTTTGAATGGTGAGGATTACTTCATACGACAGTCTGAGATGAATTTTCATGTTTCAAAGGAACTGTATGAAAACTGTAAAAATAGTACGTGAAACTAGTTCTGTTGATAATAAAATGTGTCTAGCAAAGCTGCAGGAGGATGTTCTGTATAGAAGGCTCCAAATTAAAATTGTTTAGCAATAATCAACGATAGTTTGTTCGATGACAGAGAGTAAAATGGTATCATCATCAACGTGTAACATATACAGTGAAGCACGCTAGGAGACCAACATAAGTGTGAACTGCTCTTAACCAGTAAATAAGCTAATGCAACCAGGACTTTAGATAGGTCCCAATTCCTTCTTATCTATTATGTCATTTCTTTAGCAGCAAAACATATTATGTAAAGATTCGTCTTCCAGCAAGATAATGATACTAAACACACTGCAATGAAGTGAAATGATTTCTCACGATCATGGCTTGTCCTACACAAAGTCTCGATATTAATATTATTAAGGTTGTTTGGCTTGTGTGGAAATTGAGAAGGTCAAACGACAACCAAACAACTTGTATGAGGTAATAAAGGTCATTTGCAACAACATTTCAAAGTTATACGTTGATAAACTTACGGTAGCGTATAAACAAGGTGTACTACTTTGTTTTAGGCAAATACAAAATGGTAGTCAGTTGTACAATGTATTCACTATTCTTTGTAATAATGTATTGCACTAATGATAAATTGGCTTCTTTGCAATATACCTGATTGCCTGTTATTTTGTACATGTATCATTTTTGTGTTTCTATAAAGTTTTTCAATACTGTATACATTCTAAGACTTATCTTTATGCATGTTGGAATTGCTGAAAGAGACCCAAGGTCCTTATTGTTGAAAGACGGTTTAAAGTAGGAATTTGTGCACAAATTTATCAAAAGACAATCAGAAGGAACCAATGTTAGAAAGAGTCTTTGTTTGTCTTTCAGTTCGAGTTGAAATATGATATAGAAAAAAACGCGAAATGACATCAAATTGGTACAATTTAACGGTGATAAGGCTTAAATTTAATCCTCCCCTTTTTGTTTAATTCTGAATACACAAGTGAATA